AAAAAAAAAAAAAAAAAAAAAAAAAAGAAAGTGGTCAGAGTAGGAATTTCGGTGCTTTCTTTTTTTCTAAGCAGAATCACGCCACCCGAGGGAATCAATTTCCCCTCACGTTCTCGGCGAGCAGACGTCAAAGGGGAATTTCGATGAGTCGAATTGACAGTTTTACGATCCCCCGTTAAAGCTTACTGTATTTCGCCCGTCTCCGCTCGTGATCACGAAAAGCTTTTCTTCGTCATCGTGGATACTTACTCCGAGATGGTGACACGTTCTCACGTCGACTTAATTCGTACACATTGACGGAGCAACGGGGATACACGCTTTTTTAACGCGAATCAAAAATTTTATTCAAAATCGTGCCTTTGAAAGTAACAAAAAATAAATCTACACTTCTCGTTAATTTTAATATTATTATTTTAATTATCGTTTTTTAACGCGAAACGAAAATTTTATTCCAAATTTCCCGCCTTTAAAAGTAACAAAAAGTAAATCTACATTTCTCATTAATTTTAATATTATTATTTCAATTATCACGAATGAGTATATTTCTTCAAATTTTCATTTCGTACTTCAAATTTTTTTAGTTCGTTTCGAACTCTTTCTGTTTTATCCACTGTTCTAATTTCTGTCTTATGTTTGTCCTTTAATTTTATACTTCACTACATTTCCTTCCAATGTTATTAATTCTTTTTTTTAATCGTAGAGATAGATCTTTTTACAAATATGTAGGTATGTACTCACTATGTCTGTTTTTGGACGAATCAACTCGAAGAGTTCCTTCACTTTGGATCTGATCCTTTCCATTTGATACACGGCAAGTGTAGAATCCTACGTCAGAGACGTCTAAGTTGACGATCTTTAGGCGACTTCCGGCGATGTTCTTCGCCGCGTGTTCGTGTGCCTGAAAAATCAAACCATTTTGTCCTTTTTCTTTATCCATTTTATACGATTAACACGTTTACAATTTTTATTCGTACGGTGGCTATAGAGCAATATTCATATTTTTATACAAAATTATCGTTTCCTCGTTTAATTCGAGTTGGCAAATTCTGACAGAAAATTTGAAAGAATGTTGAATATAGACAATCACTCAAAACGATCGAATTGATGAAAGATCAGAATTATTTCAAGCATTAAAAACGTTAAGAATTTTTAATTACGGTTACGTCGGTAGTTTTACCTGCGCGTGTATCTTCTTAATAGTAATTTTAGGACGTTTTTCTTCTAGAGGTGCTTCGTTCTTGAGCCATTTGATTTTAGTCGGCGGTGGATCACCGACGACTTCGCATCGCATGTGAGCTACACCACCAGCGTCTTTCGAAATATTCGTTAGCGTGCGTATGAACTTTAGCGTACCACTTTTCGCCCCGGATACAGCCTCCACGTCAGTTCTGTAAGTGAAAGTAGAAAATTAAATAGTAATTAAATCGTGATCCCAATTTTTTTCTCAAATTTTACTCTTGCCGTTTCGAAAAAGATCAGTATCATGAATAGAACATTTTTCTTCGTTGCTACGCTTTTCTGCAAATTCTCGAAATTAGGAATTTTGTTACCGAAGCCTGAGCAATTTTGCCTAACTTTCATTTGGGGGTCAGTATCACAAAAAAGAAAAAGTTTCTGTGTTGATGAAACGGGTGTTGCAAATTTAATATTGTGAATGCAATATTTTTCCAAAAACTTTTGAATTTAGAAATTTTGTTATTTAACCCTTCAAAATCTGAGAAATTGTTCCTCAACTTTCATTTGGGAGTGAATATCTGAAAAACAAAGTTCCACCGAGTTTAGTTATTCAAAATTTTTATAAACGGGTGAATTTCAGATTTCAGGAATTGAAAATGTGAGTGAGTCCTCAAAGGGTTGACACACATCGCATATTGCAAAATATAAAAAATTGAGACGTAACAATATTAATTGTCGCAGTAAGAAAAGAAAGAATTAGTTAATATTTTTAGATGAAGAATTTCAGGGGCGGTAGAAACTTCTCGAACACTCGTTAGAGCACTCTCATTGAAATGTACGAGCAACATGTTGTCGCGAGAAATTGACCAAAGAACTCTCAGGACGCGGGTTAAATTTTTTATCGGCTGCCGGTTTACATGGTCCGTTTAGCATGATTACAGGCATAGAAAGGCGCGTCGTATGAAAATTCAACGATTATTATGCCTTGTAGTTAGATTTTTACAACGTGTAAGTCGCTTCACCGGGAAAAATCTTTCCCGCGATGGCTCGGAATTTGTTACGACGCCCGTTACACCTGCATATTACAGCGTGCAACGTCGTTGAAAGCCGTTTATTAAAATGCTCGTTGAATTGCGCCACTGCGTAACGCTTCGTAAAAAGGAAATCGACAAGCTGTGCGAGTTACGAAATAAGAGTAAGAATTTTCAAAAAATTGGCAGAGAAATGTTTTCAACGTTTAAAAATATAGAAAAATATTTTAATATTGAGAAAATTAAATTACACCTCTTCGCCAAAGTCAGCATAATTTGTTTTTTAGTTATAGGAATATTTCAATATTTAACAAAATAGGAAAATATTACAATGTTGAGAAAATTAAATTACAGTTTTTCGTCAACTCGGTATAAACAAAAGTTTCAATATTAAAAGAATAGAAAAATATGTTAATATTGAAAAAATTAAATTACACTTCTTCGCCAAAATTACCGAATAATGTTTATTAAGATCTCATTAATTTTCTAGCGACTCTTCAGGTTTCCTTTAGACTCAGCAAATGTGAAGTAACACTTACGAGCCACAGTGTCCATACGAAAGCTAATTAAATTAAACAAGCTTATTTCATCGCAGTTAGAATTCCCCAAAGTGCCCAGTAAATCAAATTACTCTGAAATATATTTGAAATAAATTTTCCAAAGTATCCAGCAAAATCTATCTGAAATATTTTAAACCCGAAAGCAAAGAGAACAGCGAAAATTAAGATAGCAGTAGACTAAAAGTCAATTCTACTCCTACTTTTCAATATCGTCCAACTTACACGCACCACTCCATCGAGCCCTCGAGAAATTACAATAAACCATAATCGAGAAGGCCCGAAAAACGTGTAATTTTTCAGGCTCCTCGAGCACCGGTCCTCCATTATATATCCTGCGCGGTTCGAAATTCAATTGGAGGTCCATTGGCACGTAACGTCGACTGGAAATTTCAGGGTGAATTTAATCTGGCTCGAATAACCGAAACACAAAATACACTTCATCCACACCCACACTGGCGTGTGTAGCTTGTTAAATCATAGTCACCTCTAACCGTGCCAATGAGACTGAATTGATTCATTGTTCGAGGCTGTTAAAGATAGATAGAGAGAGAGAGAGAGAGAGAGAGAGGAGAGAGACAGTGAACGAGAGCTCTTCGAGCAATGGACACTGCCTCTGTGTCCCTGACGAATTTTTATGCAACGACGATCCTACGTCAGATGCCCTCAGGGCAACTAGTGTTTCCACCCACATGCAGATCGATCTCTCTTCTCTCTGGAGCCACTTCGTGCAGCCTCGCCGCTAACAATGTAACTTTAAAACGAAGGGGATCATTAAAGGAGGCGAGTTTTCGGGCTGGCTTGCTCCAGCTGAAAGTTTCGCCTGATTGACGAAGGAATTTTGATTATGCCAATAACGCGGCACCGCCGGAAGGCAGCTGGCTTTACTCCTCGAAGGAAGTCTCGGCGGGGTATATTTTCTTTAATAGATACTTGCTATCCTTTGTTTCGAATTCTTCGCAACATTTTATCTGGAGATTTTTGCTATGGCTGCGCGGGTCAGAGGGCACCTGACTGACACTTGTAGAGAATTATTTCACAATTTGACAATTGTTGATTTTACGAATTACAATTGTAGTCACAATGAAAATTAAGTTTACTACGAATTCATTTCTATTCACTTCACTTCAAAGGGTTAATAAATAGAGCGCGAAACGTTCAAAGGATTTCCTCATGCAAGAATAAAAAGGAATCGATTGTTCCGTATTGCTTATGACTACCTCAAACACACTCGTACTGCGTAATCATCAATAATTCATTCCAGATCTCCCTGTTCCCTCTTATCTCTCTTACAAGCAAGCAAGAAAAAAAGAAAAGAAAACTTTCTTCCCCACAAAAGGATTTTCCCCGCGAGAGCGTCTCTAACGTGATTCCCCGCGTAAATCACGCGGCGTGGCGAATTAACGCGTCGACGAGCGCGCGTTCACCAGAGGCTCGAGCAGACGAAGGAAGGAGAAACGGTGAAATCTTGGCCAGTCCATTTCCAGAAACACTCCGGTAAATAGCCGCGACCCCGGCGATCGTATATCACGGCCGCGATAAGGGGAAGTCCAGGCCGGGCTATGCATTATTTCGCGGCGCGACGCGTCGCGAGAGGGTGAGAAGAATAGGGTGCCAGTCCATTAACATATTCATACTTAATATTCCAGTCGCAGCGTCGCGCGACAACGTCCGCCATGCCGGATTTATATTGCCCTAATGTACGCGATTACTTTCTCTCCCCCGCCTATAGATCGACCGGAAGTCACGATTGATTGCAACTTCCACGAGCCACTTGTGCATCCTCCCTTCGCCATAGAAAGTGTCTTTGAATGTGGAGCCGTTTCTGACGAAAGTTGTCGCCATTTAGTTGGTTGGCGATGGGGAGATGTTCGTGTGGCTTTGGTTTTTTTTTTTTTTTTTTTTTTTTTTTATTTTGAAAAAAAAATTGTAGAAATTATGATGATTTAGTTATTTAGAGACTGGGTTCTTGGTTTTTATCTGGATTTTTCTGGGAGGAGTGAGAATGGTTTTTTCAAATTTAAGTTAACAGCTTTAGATTTTCCAAAAGTAGCTTTCCGAAAATTGTAAAAATTGTGATCATTTAGTTATTTAGGGACTTTGGTTTTTATCAGGATTTTTCTAGGAGTGAAAATGTTTTCTTTTTTTAATTCAAATGAACAGTCTTAGATTTTGGGACAAAAACTTTCCAAGAATTGTACAAATTATGATGATTTAGTTATTTAGGGACTGGGTTCTTGGTTTTTATCTGTTTCTTTTTTGGGAGGAGTGAAAATAATTTTTTAAAATTCGATTAAATAGCCTTAGATTTTTCGACAGTAACTTGTTAAGAATTGTATGAAAAATCGTAGAATTCTTCAACCCTTAATGAATTTTCGAGTGATTAAAAATTTGACATTTTATGTTACACGACCTAACAGTTGTTAGTTATAATTAGTTTCGAGTTGTTAGTGGTTTTATTGTATGAAAAAACTTAGGATTTTTCAACACCTGAGGGGATTAAGTATCCATTTCATATTACGTGACTTAATTATTGTTAAGTCGTGGCTGATTTGGAATTATTAGCAGTTTCATTTCGATATTTATATAAGGATTTGTGAAATTTTTTTTCCCTGAAAATGAATAATTTTGTATAACGTCTGATGGTAATGTAGACAAGAATTTTGCAGACAGACGTTCGTAAGTTTAAAGGGAAAATGATGCATAATAAGTTTAGTAACTAATATTATAATCATTTTGTTTCCAATTAAGATACAGTTTGCATAAACAATTTTACTATTATTTATATAAACGATTAATAATATTATTAATGAAAAATAAGAACCGGCGGTATGTAAGCACTTTCTACTACGCTAGCAGTGATATTTAAAGAAATTAATTATGCAACTCCCAGCACCGTGTAACATATATTATATCCAAATTATCGACTCTCTACTACATATGCAATTACAGGAAAATGCGAGACCGAGATATCTCGCGAACCACACGCAACATGTTAATATCGAATCTTTTAATTACCATACTCCACAGCAAAATGCAACTTTCTAGAAAGCAGAAACTCCCAAGCAATGCGTTGAAGAATTTCTTATTAAAACGAGCAAGCGAATATTTCGTTCATACAAAGATTGCTTATTAAAATTATCGTTTACATTATTTCTAGGAAATCGTAAAAATAGAAAGTGCTGCAAAATATTTCTGTGATAAAATATAAACATTCCCAAGCGTTAAAGAATTTTTTACTAAAAGTAGAAAGTGAATATTTCCTTGCAGAAAGTACCATTTTCGTTACTCACAGAAAGATTCATAAAAATAGAAAGTGTTGCGGAATATTCACTTAATAAAATACGAGCATAAAATTACAAACAGAAGGAGAAACGAAATATTTCATTTATATACAAATCGCTTACTAAAAATTACCATTTATATTATTTACAAAAAATCGTAAGGAAAGTGCAGCAGGATATTCGCAGTATAAAATACAAACGTAGAAACGAAACGAAGGGAAACAACAGTTTTTCAATTAACGTAGAACGCGTATATTCCACAATTAACCCGAGCAAAGTAGCATTCTAATTTCGTCTACATTTCACTGTCGCAATTCATCGCGAAGTTTTGTCCTCCGAG